AGCCCCTGGAGAAGGAGCGAGAGGGTGGCACGGAATCACCGCCGGCTGTCTGGGGAGCCGGGGTGGTGCGGAGCAGCATGGTGTCCTTCCCCGTGTCGCGTGTGGACTTGTACGTGCTGGGCCCAGAGCAGGGCCAGGCTTGCTGCTCCGACAAGAGCCATCTGCCCCAGCCCCTGCGAGCAGAGGTCCCTGCGAAGGCCTGGCGAGGCTGCCCCGCCCGGAGCGGCTTGCCGGAGGTTGAGTTTCTCCGCAGCAAGCGCTTGGCTTTTCTCCAGCGGTGGCATTTGGCGAGCGGTGGCCTGGCCGTGCCAGACCCGGACCACGGCTATCACAGCCTGGAGGAGGAGCAGCAGCAGCAGCACAAGGGCGTTTGTCAAGAAGAAGTAGAGGGACGGCGGGAGCAGCGGTGCCATGCCGGGGAGTTGAAGCGTCCCGAGGAGCCGAGCGACTCGAGGAGACAACTTGGAGGTGGCCCCTTGGAGCAGGAGGGGATAAGGAGTTCAGCTGAGGAGGCACTTGAGAGGGAAGCCTCGACTGAAGAGGATGATGAGGACTCCGAAACAGAGCAAAACCTTCCAGTTTCGGCCAGACCTGCCTGTGCGAATAAATTAATAGACTATATCATAGGAGGAATTTCCAGTGGGGAGGACAGTGCAGATGATGAGGAAGACTGGGATGATGATGACGACGGATTTGATAGCGAAGGACTCCAGTCGGATTCAGAGGGGAGCCAGGACGGGGAAAGGCTTCATCTCTGGAATTCCTTCTACAGTTTGGACCCGTACAACCCTCAGAACTTCACAGCCACCATTCAGACATCTTCCAGCGATCCAGGAAAGGATATGTCAGATGTGGGTGAGGAGGAGGAGGAGGAAGAAGAAGATTCTTCATGGGCAGAAGAGTCCTCAGGCTCTCCTCAGCCTAGTTCTGAAGAGGAGGACGAGTGGGACTGTAGCAGTGTGGACGAGACAGAAAACTTGAAACTTTGGAACTCGTTCTGTACCTCAGATGATCCATATAATCCGTTAAATTTCAAGGCAGCCTTTCAAACAGCAGAGAAGAAAGGGACGCCTGATTTAAAAGGAGCAGAGAGGCCGAGTTTGGTCACTTCTGAGCATAGTCACTTAACTGTCTGTCGGGTGCAGCTGGAAAACCGTAACTGTGAGCTCACTGACTTTGTGCAGCATGGCATTCTTTCTGATGGGAAAAGTAGAAGTACCAAGCAGAAAAAGGTATACACTTTGTTTATGTTTTTGTGTTTTGGGGGTGCTAAAAAACCAAAACAACAAACCCACGTTGCGCTGGTCAGTGTGTGGGTGGGTGGGGTCGCTTCTGGCGTGATTCCAGCCCCGGCACTAGGCCGATCATGCCCCCGTGAGCTTATGGTTTAATTATTTGACTGAAATGAGTGTGCCTCATCCTTTACACGTCATGGGAGACTTCATAATTCAGTGACGCAGGGCAGATAACTTCTTTAAATTCCTTTTCTAGATCAGAAGTTGTATTTTCCTTTTAAGATGTAGTTCGTTTTGTATTTGTGTTGTAACGTAGTTTTCGTTGCCAAGAGGAACACAACTGTGACGTCAGTTTTTCTTCTGGCAAGTACCTCTTTCTGTTACGTGTAATGTCGATAAACTATTTTAGGACTTTCCACCCACATAGTGTAACTGATACTTAAAGCATTGTAAACGTTTTAGGACTTGACAAGCCTGCTTGAGTACAAACGGCTTTTGGAGTAGGAGGAGCTCTTCTGTTGTGGGTTAACCCGTGCTACACTAAACCTCTGAAGTACAAAGCAAAAATATTTCCATTCAAGAGACTGTTATAACTCCGCAGTCGTTGATAAAAAAAGATGTGATCTGGAACTGGGCTTTTGACCACGAACTGGCCGTGTAATCTATTTATGGGGGGGTTGTGCCTTAAACTTTTAAGACGTGTGCTAGGATTCACCTGAGTAGTAACAAATTCGTCCTCTTACAAAGTTTTGTGACGTTGCAGAGGCACAAGATGGCTTTTCAGGCATGTCTGAGGCTTGCCTGACACTTCAGATGTCTGGACGAATAATAACCTGCGTTACCGAGTCCCAGGGTAGCACACGAGCATAACAAAATAGAAAATTTGTGTAATGCTTTAGCGTTCTTAGAGCGGAGGGATGTGTTTGCTCCTTTAATTGCGAGTCTGGCTTGGAGGTAACTTCATGCCTGTTTTTGCTGGGGCAGGTGGCGCTTTACAGACATAGTGGTTCGCACAGGACAAACGATTGTATTTTAATGAAAGTGGAAAACGCTCAGAGTTAAATGGATCCTGCAGGAGGCCCTTGGTAACTGGCAGCATCTGTGTGAAATGCTGCAAGGTAGCACCGGCGAGCCCTCCTGTGGGTTCACGCTGCTGTGACCTAGAGCCTTGTTGCCTGTCGGGGATGTAGCTTTAACAGTAGCGGCTTTTTCACTAATGTGTCGGTTTTACTCTGTGTAATCTGTTGACGTGGTGAAAGAACGATGATCTAGGTGCAATATGGAGCGTGATGTTACAAAATCCCGTAATTGTGCCCAAGGGTGCCTCAGACTGATGTAAAAAGGCTGTAAGGTAGGAGCTCGCAAAGGGATGGGCTGATGTAACAGCTCCGTGGGCCTGAAAGCAGGTACTTAATTAGATCTGTCTGCAAAACGGAGCAGAGGTTGCCAGGCAGTGACCAGGCGTTCCCTGGAAATCCTGAGTCCTTCGTCCTGCTCAAGGGGATTTCCTATCTGGCATCTTGCAGTCAAACAGCAGCAGCATTCCTGTGTGGAAAGTCGTAAAACCTGGGAGTGTTTTGCTGGCTTTTGGGTTAGCAGTGTGGGGTCTGATGCCCCTGCTTTCACAGACAGCTCGGCAGTAATTTGGGGTCACTGCACTAGAATCAGGGGTTGCCTTCAGTGCAGCCTCTTGTGGCTCTGTGTCCTCGACTGCTGATATTCCTGTAGCTCATCTCTTCCCAAACTGTTGTCTTCCTGTTTTCTGTGAAGGTTGGAGGATGGCTCTACCACAGAAAGCAACCTCGCTCTACCCTCGTTGTGTTAGCATGAACTGAGTGTGAAACTCGGGTTCTGTGTTAATAAAACGTAGGAATGGGGCAGCAAGGGTTTTGTACCTCCCCACGGAATTTCCTGACCTAGCGGTAGCTGTTCTGCAGCAAATCCAGTGGAGTCACCTGTAACCACAGTGTTGGGGTTGTCTTCAAGAATTGGTCCTAGTCTGAGAGTTGATGGGTGCTGACAGCTTTGTCCTTCAGTTATGTGCTTGTTGTACAGCTAGATGAAAAGCAGTATGTCATTCAGTAGGAGCCTGAAATACTCTGGCTTCTGCTTGTCACTTGATAACAGAAAGACTTAAATCCTTAGTATAGTAATAGTCTAAATACTGTAAAGTTTAGATCCTGAGCCTATAAGTTTCTTTGTTTTCTTAAAATAGATGAATACTTCTTAAAAATAGCGAAGAGTGAAAGCTGTCACATGTATTTTAAAGTGCAGTGACTTTGACTTCCTCCCCTTGCGTGACCTTAAGCACAGTGGAATGTGATCCCGGTTGTTCAGTCACGCAGCGCTGAGTGTTGCTTCCTTGCCTGTAGCACCGTGGCATTTCTTTTCCTGGTGCTGAGGCACCAGCTGACTCACGTGATCCCTTACTTTACAGAACAACGATTCTGCCTTTTTTTATGATGTAAGCTTCAGTAATCGGAGGTGTTGGCCGGCAGCATATTTCTAGCCCTGAGTGTGTGTCCTGGCCTGTCCCACTGAGTGACCTGCTTGAACTGTGTCTGTGTACAGTGGTGATACTGGGGGGTGTTACTTCACAGGGAACATGGTGTGATCTGCCGTCAGCCTAAAGAGGCCCCTCAGGCTGCAGTTCAGGAGCTGTAGTACTTGGGGCGCTGCTTTTGGTGGAGGGGAACTCAGCGTCTGGTTGCTTTTAAAGCCGAGAGGTGAAATACACTGTGGTGGTGCAGGGACCTGGCACGAACTGGTAGCGTATCAGAGGCTTTTTGCTATTTTAGGCATTTTAAAACTTCTGTTAAAAATGTGAAATCGTCTCTGCAGATGGGTATTAAGCTCCTTTGCGTGAGCGTTTGGCTAATGCCTTGTCGAAATGCCTTGTCTTTTCCAGGTAACCTTCCTTGAAGAAGTGACCGAGTATTACGTGAGCAGCGAGGAGGATCGTAAAGGACCCTGGGAAGAGCTTGCACGAGATGGGTGCAGGTTCCAGAAACGTATCCAAGAAACAGAAGAAGCCATAGGATACTGCTTCACCACGGAGCATAGACAGCGAGTGTTTAATAGACTCCAGGAAACCTCCTACAAGAGGGTTGATCTCTTCTAGCACCTTAACAGATCTGGTAGCTGTGTGACCCTAAGCACTCAACAGTGTCTTCAAAACAAGAAGTGGCAGCTGCACGTGCTATTTTGAAACGGGGAGAGAAGTGGGATTTGAACACTTCTTTCCCAGTTTGATATTCAGCCAACAAATATCCCTGTGTGTCCCATTTTGATAGCCAGATAAAATCTTTTGAGTATCATCAAGGGTGAGGGTGGTTTAATTGCATTCCTTTTAAGTACCACTTGAGAAACGGACTGCGTTAGGTCAAATCCATTCCAAAAATGCCTTGTCTGCCGTATGTGGAGAAGTGGTGACTATTAAGTTGGATTTTTGCACTTTGAAAAAGTAAAACCTATTTTGAAGGAAATATTTATGGGGCTCAGAACCTAGTTATTGCAGTTTTGATTTAAAGTTTCTAGAGGTATGTGCTACTTCCTTGTGGTTCTCCATTTTCTCTAACTTGTACAAAAGTCTCGAAATTTCGTTAGCTGGTAACGTTAACTTTCCTGTGCAAAGCAGATCCTTTATTCCTTCCTTTTAAGGTCCCAGTTTTGCATGTCACCTAGTGTGTGAGTGTTTGTGTAATGCTTTGGTGTCTTGATATTTCAGTCCAGCACACTGGGGGATACAGGGGAACTCTGGTGCACTACGAGCCCTTTGGTTTGGCTTTATTTAAATAATACCTTTACCCAGTACTGTTCCAAAGGGCATGGGCTGCTTGTGCACCAAACCTCTTGGCTTTCGGGGCAAGGAAAGGCCTCAACCCAATCAAGAGTGAAAGCTTCAAGGTACATATCGAGGCTGTGGCTGATTGAGTTCCCTGGCCAGGCACAGGGAACTTAGCCCCTAGTTCTTAAGTTAATCTTAGAGGAACTTTGTTGTAATTAAATCCACTTTCTGAAGATGGATTGAAGTGGAGGATTCTTCCTCTTTATCTGGTATGCTTGTTCTGGTACTCGTAAGGAGAGTTAGCTTTGACTTAGGGAAATCTAAGGCTACAAATCGCTGTGTTCTTTACCAAAAGCCAGTATTAATACCTCTGCGTCTGCACTTTTGTTCGTCTGGTACCAAAATAACATTTCACGTTTGGGGTCTGAAAGTTGAGGTCCTCAGTGGAAGGAAAACACTCCTAATTTATGTTCCTAACTTAAAATGTTTAATTGTTGTTTCAGTCAAAATAAAAAAAGCAGCAGCATGGGGATGTGTGTTTGGAGCTGAAGGATGTTGTGTGGCTGTTACCCAAGCAGGTGTGAGGTCATGCAATGGAATCGATACCAAACATCAAAGAATTTGTGTCTGTTTGCATGAAGTTGAGTGAATAAAATCATTTGCTGCTTGGTCCGTTCAGCTGACAAGAATTGTGACACCTTCGAGGGGGAGAAACCTGAAAACCCTTCAGATCCATCATCTCATTAATGACTTCAATTTTTAATTTGAAAGAAAATGGCAGCTACACGGAGAGAAGAGCTTCACAGAGCTTTACTCAATCCTCCGCTCTATCATGTGATCTTTTTCTGTCACAACTTTCGGAGGTTTTTGGTTTCTTCTTATTTCATGAAGTGTTTGTTTGACTTGAAGGATTACCTTTCTCTGCTACAAGTTAGGATTAGGAAATTCGGAGGGTCTACTGTGAACTCCACTGGAGTTGCCCTGTGAAGTTCAAATAGAGGCAAAACTCAGGCAGCCTTACAGCCTGGCTGCTTGAAAGCAATGCAGCAACGTTCTTTTTCATCCTCATGGCATAAAAAAACCCAATTTGGATTGTCATTTCCTACAAAAGGTAGTTTTAGTTCTGAAATTGTGGTTCTCGGATGCCCGCGGATCCTGTGAAATAACTTCTTAATTTTTAGGAGTTCATTTTCCTGTATCACAGGGATTCTGTTTTTTTGTTGAGGAAAAAGCCTGGGGGCTGAGAAGTGTAGAATTACGATAGAAAATGCGTCGACTTACGATCCCAGTGTGGCTGATAGGTAAAAATGCTGTTCGTTGCTCTTGCTGAAACCTAGATACTCTCTTCATTTTTCCCTGACTCTCCGAGTTTCTCCAGTCTTGGAGAACCCATTGGTGCTTCAGTTCCTCTGCCCAGCTCGCCTGGTTTACTGGTGCTTGCAAGCAGCTTCAGGGCGGGGTGGGTTCACCCCTGCCGACACTGGTCCGCTGTTGGCAGAGGCTTGGGAAAAGGCTACGGCTGGGAAGGGGCAGAACGGACAAATTGGATCTAAACTCGATTGAAAACTGCCACTTCCAAAGTGCTTCGAACAGCTGAGAAGTTATTTTTTCCCCCCCCAGGCTGCAGTGTGTCAAGGACAGTGTTCTGACACTGCTGGTTCTCACTGAGATGTACCTGCTTGGGTGAGCGTTTCCCACCCCCTGACCTCATGTTTCCAGAGTGCCCGGTGTAAGGTGGTAGGAGAAGAACACTAAATTCACCGCCGTGAACGTGTCTGAGAAGCAAGCTAAGCTTGGTTGTCACCATTTTCCCTGTCACGTATCTTAAAAAGGTCGTGCAGGATATGTCCATGTGTAAGTGCTTCGAGTGAGACCGTAAACAATAACACTTGTTGAACTTTAAATCAAAACTGTAACTATCAGATTTTATTTTTGTATAATTTAGAGAAAGTTAGAAAACCTTCAGCATTGGCTTTATACAGATTTTAATTGATTTGTGTCGAGTTTGTTGGGTTTTTATATCTAAAGTTATATTTCTGTACATAATAAAACTATTCAGAACTAATCTGTAAATTGTAATAAAGATATTTGCAAGATAATGCCCCATTGTTTGTCTTTGAAAGCACTTAGGGGAGGTGTTGGGTGACTCAGAACATGGTTTGTGCAGGTATGTTCGGCTTTATGAGAATATTAAATCCCTTTCCTCACCTTTGGTGTTTCGGAGGAGGTGATGGGGAGTTCCTGCCCTCCCAGGGAATGCGGGAGCGTGCGGGCTCCTTGTCCTGACGAAGCTTTTCATCTGAAACACAAAGCTGCAATTAGTTGTATGCAAATTGGGTGCTGGCTTGGTGCAAGCAGGGCTGTTAATGTTTTGTTGCCCTACTTGAAGCTGAGTATTGAGATCACCGATTAGCATAACTTTGAATACAAACGCTGCTTGGGTTTGGAGGTATTTCAGGGGTGGTTGGTTTTTTTTTTTTTGAAGTATTTTCAGGCTTTGCGCTGAAACAAATTTGAGGTGTCACCTTGTGAGCGGAGGTGACTCGAGGGTGCCAAACGTCTGATCTTTCTGTGATGAAGAGCCGGGACGCTGCCCTGTGTGGCGCCGTGTGGCGTTGGCCTCTGATGCGGCAAATAATTTGTTCCCTCGTTCGTGGGCTCGCGAGCCGGCGGGCCGTGGCCCGTGAGGAGCTCGGACCACGCGAGTGGTGACGCCTCATCCTGCGCAGCGTTCCCCGGCGTCATTATTTTTAATGAAGGGTGGTTTTTGTTGCTGCGTCGGTCGCTCCGTGGTTTTTAGATTAGGGAGAACCATAATTTCGGCGGAGCTGGGTGCTCTCCGGGGCGTTGTGCCCCTCGGCTGGGGCTGGGTGGGACCGCGGGTGGGAAGGAGGAGGCTGGAAGTGCCACCGCAGACCAGGGTAGTGACGAGACGTGGGCTTTGTGTCGCGGAGTGATGGGGCGAGGGTGCCTGGAGGGGTTTGTAGGCGCAAGTTGGCTTTTCCGGGGGGTTCCCAGGGGCTCGGTGGAGAAGGAGGTTGGCCTGGATGGGCAGGAGGATGTTGGCCTTGGCCAAAACCCTGCTGATGAGCTTCCTCCGGAGCAGCAGTTCTGGTGACCAGTGTCACCAGAGTGTCACCAGCAGCGCTGCTCCGTGGATGATGGGCTCATGGCGTAGGAGTCTCAGGTCACACCTCTTCTAGGGCGACGTTTTGGGGGGCAGAGCTTTCACGTTCAAGTGCTGCTTAGAGCTGGGCGCTGGAGCGGCACCGTGAGTTCTTTGCTCCTGTCTGGGGGCACAGGCCACCTTTCACCCCGTGCTTGCATCTTGGCCGGGCAGCATTGATTTCTGGAAGCGTCTCGTGGGTAGAAAGCTGCTGGATTAGATGAGGGAAAACGTTGTTTGAACTTCCTGCAACACTCTGTTGAAAATGGTGAGCGAAGCTGAGCGTGGTGGGCGTAATTCTGGTGGGTTTTTAAAGTCGCTTTCACCTGTTCTGCTAAAGTCTGCCTTAAAAATGAATATTGCAATTTCTCTTTATTCACTGAGCTAGCTGAAAGAAACACAGTTACTGTGCTAAATGAAAGCTCCTGTGTATCTGGCAGTGCATCCAGATGCCATCTGGAATGTAGAAAGCCTGCTGGGATTTCTTTATTCTATCAGTACCGAGGTCTGCAGTTGGAGTTTAGTTGACAATTTATCTGTGTTCGAGCAGAATTGTTCTTGCTCTGGTAGCTGTATCTTCTCCACGGGACTTAAGAACTTGTTTGTCAGCAAAGCACACGGGGAGTAAATAAGCTGCTATTTTTGTAGTCGCTCCTGACTGCATCCACTAAAACGCCATTTGCAAATTCATGGTGCTGCGGAGCTGGTTTGGTCCCACGAAAGCAAGTTTCTTCTGAAACTGGGAGGCAGGAGAAGGCAATGACACTGTGAATCACGACGCGGTTGCGATTCCAGGGAGAGTCTGCCTCTTTCCAGCCCCGCGGCCTCCACCCGATGGGCTGCAACTCGGATCTCATCCAAGGTTTAGTTCAGCGTGTGTGGTGGCGAAATGAAATCTTGTAAAATCCGTCCATTAGTCTTGAGGGTATAAAGTATTAGAGTCCATTAGCAGCAGGCGCCCATCTGCCCCTCCTGCTAATGCTCACGATAAGACTGTTAGCAATAAAAACACGGCTCAGTGGCAGCGCAGCGGCTGTTCATTCCTTCCCTTGCCTGCCTGTTGTTTTCAGGATGGTGGGTGGCGTTTTGCTAGACCCATGAACTCTCTTCTCCGTCCTTCCTCTTGCAATCGCTGCGTGTGTTGCTTCTCCCAAAAAATACGCTCCAGCAAACCCCCTGCCTGTAGAAAAACACTCGCTTGGGGGATCCAGCTCCAGCAGGCT